AAGATCATCAGAAAACTCAATATTTTCTGTTGGTCATGGGGTAGTGTGTCCACAGTGCTTTCTGGATGTAGGTGAACTACAACTCCCGAACTCAAGGTCAATGCCCACCAAACCCTTCTAGTATTTTCTGTTGGTCATGGGAGTTCTGTGTGCCAAGTTTGGATCAATTCCATCACTGGTGGACTTCAGGGTGCTCTTTGATGGTAGGTGAACTATAAATCCCAGCAACTGCAACTCCCAAATGTTAAAGTCTATTTTATCCAAACTCCACCAGTGTTTGCATTTGGGCATATTGGGTATTTGTGCCAATTTTGGTCCAGATCCATCACTGAGTCCACAGTGCTCTGTGGATATAGGTGAACTACAACTTCAGAACTCCAGGTCAATGCCCAGAAAACCATTCCAGTATTTTCTGTTGGTCATGGGAGTTTGGTATGCCAAGTTTGGTTCCATTCCATCGTTGGTGGAGTTCAGAGTGCTTTTTGATGGTAGGTGAACTATAAATCCCAGCAACTACCACTCCCAAGTGACAAAACCAATGCCCCTCCAACCCCATCTGTATTCAAATTAGAGCTTATTAGGTATTTGATCCAGTGAATGAAAATATATTCTACATATCAGATATTTACATTACAATTCATAACAGGAGCAAAATGACAGTTATGAAGTAGCAACAAAAATAATGTTATGGTTGAGGGTCACCACAACATGAGGAACTGTAATAAGGGGTCGCAGCATTAGGAAGGTTGAGAAACACTGGTCTAGAGGCATTCTCTCCTGACCTCACTACTTCTGAGGATGCTTGCCATAGATGCAGGCAAAACATCAGGAGAGAATGCCTCTAGACCATGGCCATACAGTCCGAAAAAACCTACAACAACCCAGTTGGTGGGAATGTTATTAATGCCAGAATTAATACCCTGGTTTCTCTTCAGATCGTATAAAAATCTAATGCCAGAGCAGATATTATACTTCTGAGAGTTTTTCTACAATACCTGCTTAGTTTGTTGTTGTTGTTCTATTCATTCAATTGTTTCTGACTCTTCATGACCTCATGGACCAGACCACGCCAGAGCTCCCTGTTGGCCATCACCTCCCCCAGCTCCTTCAAGGTCAGTCCAGTCACTTCAAGGATACCATCCATCCATCCATCTTGCCCTTGGTCGGCCCCTCTTCCTTTTTCCTTCCATTTTCCTCAGCATTATTGTCTTCTCTAAGCTTTCCTTTCTTCTCATGATGTGGCCAAAGTACTTCATCTTTGCCTCTAATATCTTTCCCTCCAATTAGTAGTCAGGGTTTATTTCCTGAAGTATGGACTGGTTGGACCTTCTTGCTGTCCAAGGCACTCTCAGTACTTTCCTCCAACACCACAGTTCAAAAGCATCTATCTTCCTTGGCTCAGCCTTCCCTATGGTCCAGCTCTCAGATCTGTAGGTGACTATGGGGAATACAATTGCTTTTTTTTTAAACTATAGTTTAAGGACCTTTTAAAAAAAGAAAAAATAAACACATTTGAGTGAGAGATTTTGTGACACTCTTTGTGAACTACAGTGCCCATCTAGTTTGAAAGGCCAAAATCTATTAACTATTTCATGTTATTTCCTAATCATGGTCACCATCATCATACACACTGTTGTCATCCATTATTGTGTCTCACCATTCCTCCAAGAAAGTTCATTGAGTCCTCCATTTTTGATCACAGTAAAGCTGAGAGGTAAATTAGGGGATGAGAGAGAACATCATAGCTGAAGAATTTAACCTGTGTATATAATAATAATAATAATAATAATCATCATCATCATCATCATCATCATCATCATCATCATCATCATCATAATCTTTATTTATACCCCGCCACCATCTCCCCAGTGGGGACTCGGAGCAGCTTACATGAGGCCAAGCCCGGACAACATATTACAGCAATAAAATCAGAGCATGACAACAGATAACAAACAACAAGAGAGAGAAAAAACGCAGTTATAAAATAACATTCTAATAAACACAATCACAATAACGATAACAATGGGCAGGCCACATATACAGGATAACACAATTAAAAGACTGTAATGAGATAAAATAGGAGCAGGACATTAATGGGGAACTCATAAATCACTTAGAGTTGTGAGGCTAAACTTCCCATTTGGGGGGCGCGAGCTCTAGTAGCAGAAAACGTTGAGGGGTGCAAAATGTCATGGTATGCACCTACTCACCAATCTAGCCTATTGATCTAGGATAAGTTTGTTGTATTAATTATCTTTCCTTTTATCTCCACCATCTTGCATTTCACATTCTTTAATTATCCTTTACTGATGAAACGGGACTCCTAACTAAATTTCAACATTCTAGAAAACACCAAGATCTGTGTGTCAATGCACAAGTGAGGCAATTTTGAATACATAATGGAGGCTTATAATAATACAAATAATTTGCATATCATGTGCTGAGAAAAAAATTGATTCACTTGGTAAAGATAAAGGTTTTCCCCTGACATTAAGTCCAATCATGTCTGACTCTGAGGGTTGGTGCTCATCTCCATTTCTAAGACGAAGAGCCAGTGTTGTCCAAAACACCCCTGACAGATGGCCATCCAGCCTCTGCTTAAAAGCTTCCAAAGAAGGAGCCTCCACCACACTCTGGGGCAGAGAGTTCCACTGCTGAACGGCTCTCACAGTCAGGAAGGGAGACTGCAAGGAGCAGTTATCTTGAAGGAATGTATAATCCCTTGCCATCATTGCTCTGCTTTCCTGCTCAAAGCTTCTAATATATGACTTTTCTATGTGTTGTCACTGCATGTACCATCCTGCTCCTTGTGCATCTCCCAGCAGATTCTTGCTGCTTTTAACTTTCTGTAGCTTCCCCCAGGTCCCACTTATGGCATCATCTCTTTTTCTTTTCATGGAGGTCACTCCTATTGCCAATGCAAGTTGCTTAAGACCCTTCTACACTGCCATATAATCCAGATTATCAAAGCAGATAATCCATCTGCTTTGAACTGGATTATATGAGTCTACACTGCCATATAATCTAATTCAAAGCAGATCACAGAATCATCTAATCATAGAGTTGGAAGAGACCTCATGGGCCATCCAGTCCAACCCCCTGCCAAGAAGCATGAATATTGCATTCAAATCACCCCTGACAGATGGCCATCCAGCCTCTGCTTAAAAGCTTCCAAAGAAGGAGCCTCCACCACACTCTGGGGCAGAGAGTTCCACTGCTGAACGGCTCTCACAGTCAGGAAGGGAGACTGCAAGGAGCAGTTATCTTGAAGGAATGTATAATCCCTTGCCATCATTGCTCTGCTTTCCTGCTCAAAGCTTCTAATATATGACTTTTCTATGTGTTGTCACTGCATGTACCATCCTGCTCCTTGTGCATCTCCCAGCAGATTCTTGCTGCTTTTAACTTTCTGTAGCTTCCCCCAGGTCCCACTTATGGCATCATCTCTTTTTCTTTTCATGGAGGTCACTCCTATTGCCAATGCAAGTTGTTTAAGACCCTTCTACACTGCCATATAATCCAGATTATCAAAGCAGATAATCCATCTGCTTTGAACTGGATTATATGAGTCTACACTGCCATATAATCTAATTCAAAGCAGATCACAGAATCATCTAATCATAGAGTTGGAAGAGACCTCATGGGCCATCCAGTCCAACCCCCTGCCAAGAAGCAGGAATATTGCATTCAAATCACCCCTGACAGATGGCCATCCAGCCTCTGCTTAAAAGCTTCCAAAGAAGGAGCCTCCACCACACTCTGGGGCAGAGAGTTCCACTGCTGAACAGTCAGGAAGTTCTTCCTCATGTTCAGGTGGAATCTCCTAATCAGGATTTAATTTGGCAGTGTAGATAGGGTTTTAATGTGGCAGGATTTAATGTGGCAGTGTAGACATGTGCGAGGAAGGATAGTGGGAGAAGCTCATGGGAGGTTTTGGTATAGACTCTTTCCACAAGCTTCAGATTATCTGCTTTGAACTGGATTATATGGCCATGTGGATCCAGCTATAGTCATTATATGGGGGGGGGGGTCAAGGAAAGAGCTGTATACGGCAGCGTAAACTCATATAATCCAGTTCCAAGCAGATAATCTGGGATTGGATACTGAATTATATGGCAGCATTGATCCAGCCTCAGTGTCTCGCTTCCCAATTGGTTGAGAGGACAATGAGGGAGAACATATAATTCCTCTTTTTCCATTCTCCTCCATGGGCATTCTTTCCATACTAAGATAGGAAAGCAAGGGAAAGGCTAATGTAATCAGAGGTCGCAGGTTCGAATCAGGGGAGAGCGTGGATGAGCTCCCTCTATCAGCTCCAGCTCCCCATTGTGGGGACATGAGGGAAGCCTCCCACAAGGATGGTAAAACATCAGAACATCCAGGCGTCTCCTGGGCAACGTCCTTGCAGACGGCCAATTCTCTCACACCATAAGTGACTTGCAGTTTCTCAAGTCGCTCCTGACATGACCAAAAAAAAATCAGAGAAATAGAAAGCATTTGCTTTTTCACAGAAATATAATCTCCATAGCAGTCATAAGGTTCTGGCTGATGTTCTGTTGTCTAGGAAAGACCTACTGAACTGATGTTTGAAATGTGACATTACAGTAAGACCCGATACCCACAGTTTCACTTACCCATGTCTTGGGGAAAATCTTCTCTCTAGAAATTTGCTAGGTCCTCCAGGAATTCTATGGTATGTTTGTCCTAGAAGTACATTGGAGGACCCACCAAATTTCTTAAGATGAGTGATACCAGACGCTGGGTAATTTATTGACATTCGATTATAATCATGGTTTCTAGTATCCATTATATCCTTTGCCTATACAGGGATATTACTGTACTACTTTGATTGCTTTGCCTTTCTCACCAGTTTTAAGTATGCTTGAATGTGCTAAGATAAAAGATTATATGATGACTAGAAATATGAACAGTAAAATAATAAAACAATAAAAATGGAAAAAAACTAGTGAACACTGGTCTTATTTTCCTCTTCCCTGCAGCTGCTGTTGCTCCCAAGGACAAACTCCTTTATGGTTTCCTGAAGCCCTGGCTTGGTAAGGTCCTCCTATTTATTTATTATCTATGTAAATAAAAATGTAATGTTCGTTTGTGGGATTAACATAACTCAAAAACCACTGGACTAATTTGTTTGTTTGTTTGTTTGTTCAACTTGTATACTACTACTCCCAATTTGGCTCGGAGCGGTTTACAGAAACAGATCAAAACAATACAATTAGCTTTAAAATGACCATAACAATAACAATAGGCAGCAAGAACAGGCATAGCCCAGATTGTTCACCCATCAAAAGCTTGTCGGAAGAGAGAAGTTTTACAGGTTTCCGAAAAGCAGGTAGGTTTCGGATGGTTCGAGTTTCAACTGGCAAGGCATTCCATAAATAAGGGGCCACGATCAAGAAGGCTCTATGCCTAGTAGATGACAAATGATAGGTCCGGATATTAGGAACTGCAAGCAGATTTTGGTCTTCAGACCGGAGTAATCTCTGGGATTGGTAGGGGTATAAGCGGGCCCTCAGGTACGCTGGCCCCAGACCATAAGGCCTTAAAGGTTAATACCAGCACCTTGAAAGTGATCCGGTACTCAATCGGTAGCCAGTGCAGCTGTTGGAGAATTGGGGTAATATGACACCTCGCTGGCACCCCAGCGAGAAGACAAGCCGCTGCATTTTGCACCAGCTTCAGTTTCCGGATCACTGACAAAGGAAGGCCAATGTAG